TCCCTAACATTCTATGAATCTGTGATTCTGTGATTCTGTAGCAGGCCAAGAATGTATGCTTTTTACTGGAGTTGTTTCATTGAGGCCCATAGTAAGCAGTCATCATGCTCCATCTAGTGGAATCGTGCAATGCACAGAAAGATAGAGTGGGAATTTTCTCATTTTATTTCGGCAGGTCGATACTGACAGGCCTCTTCCCACCCACCTCTGGAACTGTACTGATTGGCGGCCTGGATATTCAGACTCACACGGACTCCATTCGGCACAGATTAGGCATGTGTCCTCAGTACAACATCTTGTTCAATCAGTAAGTATCATTCCATACTAGCTTTAAGAATAAGGTCCCAGTCTGCATGCCTGACACATCCCCAAAGCCCGTGGTGTTTCTCTTACTGTGCTGGCAGTCTCTCAGAGGCACTTCTCCTGAAGGAAATCTGTGATCCAGATTTAGCAGCCTCTCTTCCTTTAGCAAGATAAAACTATAGTGAAATTATTGCTGATTGGTAAAATAATCTGCTTCTTCGTTTAAATTGCCTTGGTGCCTTTCTGTCTGATTTCACAGCCTCACTGTAGCAGAGCACATCTTGTTTTACTCTCAACTGAAGGGGAGATCCAGGGATGAAGCTGAACAAGAGCTGGAAACAATGCTAGAAGACATGGGCCTCACCCATAAAAGGAATGAAGAGGCTCAGAATTTGTCAGGTGCCCACAGGATTTTCTAAGATTTTTTTCTGCTGCCTTTTCTTTGTCTTTGGGCAATTACTGTTGAAGCACATGTTTGAGGCCATATTTTGACACATCACTGTGCACCAGGGAAGTCTTTACTCTCAAAGAGGAAGTGAGACTGTACAAATAGTGAAGCTGGCACAACCTGTCCCTAAAGCTTCAACAGAGTCAAATACACTCAAAGCTGTTATTTTTAAATGAATATATTAAAAAAAAATCTGTCAATGTAAGAAAAAAACCCAAAATATTATATTCTATTATTTCAAGGAAAATAAAATATTATACTCTCATGCTGCTCCACTGTTTGGATCAGTACTCTGTAATACTGTCTTACTTGGTAGGAGTAATTTCTTTCATTCTAAAAGTACAAATGCGCAGAGTGTATTTGAACACATTTCACTACCAGATTCGAAAGCTAAGGTGTCTTTGTACTACTTTGTCCTGATGGCAACTGTACTAGTTGGCCAATTTCACATAAGTACATGAAAATCTCTTCCTGCTCTTGCTTCTGGCAAGAAGCAGAAAATGCAGTGCATAAATGAAAAATGTATTTTTCAAAAGTAATAATATTTTGAACATGGTGTTCCGGAATTTGGAAGAAAAACGTGACTATTGATTTAACCATGTAGAAATAGTTTTTCTGAAGATGGGTTTTGTTTTACTTGTATCAGTTTGTCTCCACACTGAAAATCGGTGTTACTTACATCCCTGCCACTTGTGTTACTCATGTCAGACTCCTGGATGTATCTGTGCTCTGGTAGGTGGAATGCAGAGGAAACTGTCTGTTGCCATTGCTTTTGTGGGTGAAGCTAAAGTGGTAGTCTTGGATGAGCCCACTTCTGGAGTTGATCCGTATTCCAGGCGATCTATCTGGGATCTTCTGCTGAAGTATCGCCCAGGTAATAGGTTTAAGAGTGGAAACTGGTTTTTGTTTTTCTTTTTTTAAAACCTTTCATAGATGCATAACGTGCATGCTGTGTAAACTGTCGTATGGGACATATCTCACATCCAGTGGGACAAGAAGATGTGCAAACAAGATTCTTTGAACTTTTGGCTATGGATGTGCCAAACCTGAGACCTGGCTCTAATGCAGCAAAAACCCTGCATTAATTGCCAAAAAACTAAGCATAGTTTTGAGTTCCAGGGAGAGCCTATGCCTTGAACATTTCTTCTTGTTCCTTCTAGGCAGAACCATCATCCTCTCAACCCATCACATGGATGAGGCAGACATCCTCGGAGACAGAGTAGCCATCATATCCCAAGGGAAACTCTTCTGCTCAGGCTCTCCTGTATTCCTGAAGAACTGCTTTGGGTCTGGCTTCTATCTCACTCTTGTTCGCAAGATGAGAAACACCAGAATTGGAAGGGCTGCAGTAAGTATGTAGCTCCCTCCCTGCACGTGTAATTTGAAAAATCATGCACTGCACCAAGGCTGAAAGCAACTAAGTGCTGCTTGAGGCTGTGTACAGAACTGACTTCAAAATGAAGAAAGCAATGAGAAAATTTGATGACGCCTCTTGAAATTATGTGGATATTTGACTCTCTCTGTAAAAATCTTACCTGACTTTATAAATACATATTCAGCCAGGCAGGTAAAAATAATAGGTGGGTATGAAGCCATCAGTGGTCTGTAGTGCCCTCTTGTCAGTTAAGTATGTCTAAACGTTTACCAGTTATGTTGCATTTGTCCATATACAGGTATTTCTGATGCCTGCTTCTGCAGTACACCGTTTGTAAAGACAGTGTGGTCTAGTAACTAGCTCAGACACCAGAAGAGTCTACACTTATCCATAGCTAAACCAGCTTCACACAGCTCGAGAAGCAGGGTTCTGGATTCTTTCTGCTGTTAGTAGTGCTTCCAGTCTTAGTAGCAACATGATCTGTGTACTCATGGCCACTGCTGATTGCATTTCCCCAAGTATTTTGCAAGCAATTTAGAACTGACAGATGCTCTACGCAGATGGATTTATGTTTTCTGCATTGCTTAATCCAGTTCTTAGATGACTTTCAGTATAATTATGTTCAAGATGCTCCAGATACGCCATACTTTTCACTCACTCAAGCTGTTCAAAGGCTGACAACCCTCACATCCTGTTTTGCATGTATCTGAAACACTTTAATCTTTGTATCTGTTGCTTGTCCATGCTAGTCACTTTGTAGCTGTGGATCTCAGTGCTCTTGCTCCTGCTCCAGCTGTGCACGCAGTGACAAAGAAGGAGCTCCAGAGCAGGAACTGGATGGTAAGAAGT